TTGATGGTTTCCTATATTTCATCCATAATATTCTTCAGATTTGTCATTTCTCATGTCCAGTAATATTCCATTACCTATACATGTTATAATTGTTGGACACATGGATTGTTTCTAGGTTTTTTTCTTTCTGTCATGAGGAGTTGGAACATTTTTGAACAAAGAGGACTTTCTCCTGTTGATCACATCCTTAGAATGTAATCTTAGCAATCAAATCAGTAGGTTAAACCTTTCAATTTTGTATCTCTAATATATAATAATGCCACTACCTTCAGTTTTTTCCTACCTACTTTGGCTTGGACTGAAGTTCATACTGACTACGGTGCCAAAAGATGGCCTATAAGCAAATTTTTTTCTGTTTATGTTCTGTTTAAGAACCAGTTTTACACTTGATGGACTGAACCATCAGTGTGTATACATATATGTATGTACCTCTGTGAAAAAGGAATGTAAGTTCCTTGTGGACTGGTATGTTTCATTTGTTTTTGTATGCCCAGTATCTAGTAGAATGGTGCTGGATAAATGGTTGTTGAATGAATGAATGACAGACACTGCGTATGAATGAGTTGGGCCTAGAACTGAACAGGAGTAGAAGGAACAGACTGTATTGTCCTCAGGAAAGTGCCAACTTTAAAAAAAAATGACCTCAAGCTTTTCCCTGAAACAAACCAGCTTCTTCCTATCAATTAAAAGCTAATATTTTCCCACTGATGTTATATAGCTACAAGTTAAATAACACTACAGCCTATAGAAAAATTGAAATTGAGGTTCCTTCTCCCAAAGGGCAATTGAGAGGCATGTGTTACAAAGGACATCATCATTGATATGTACAGTGCAGTGCAAATTAACTGGGATAAAGCATAATAATTTGACACTATCAGCCTTCCAACATGTACTTTTGCTGCAATCACTTCTTTTTCACAATTCAGCATTGAGTTCATGAGATTTTGATACATCCCTTAATTCCTTATTAAACCACACTTGATTTCACATTGGATAATAAGTATAGCTTTGGTGAACAATACAGTTTCATCAGTGTTTTCTGTTGAATGTGTGCAAGACATCTTGAATAGGCTTGGCAAGATGTGGCAACTTGCTAGCTGAAGAAGAGGAAAGAGATAAAGACTATGCCAAGACTGGCCGAGTAGAATGGTGGCATTATCGATCAAAATGGCTGGTTGGAAGGAGAGGCAAGATCAGCAAGAAAGCTGATGTGAAGAAGCATAGATTAATTTGTTGAATTTTGATTTAGAAAGGACATTAATAAGCTTTGAACATCCAGTGTAGGGCATCCAGAATGGTGAAGGGCTTTGAGTCCATGTAATGTGAGGATTCACTGAAGGAACTATTTGTGTATAGCCTGGAGAAGAGGGAGAAAGAGAAGAGGAAGAATGGAACATATTTGTCTTCAAGTACTTGGAATGCTATCACGTGAAAGAGGGATTAGAGTTATTTTGTTTGGTTTCAAGAACATTACTAGAGCAATTTTAAGGAGGCAAGTTTAAGCTTAATGTCAGGAAAATCTTCCTAACATCTAGAACTATCCACAAGTAGAATGGATTAGTCCAGGAGGCAGTGGGTTCACCCTCAGTGGAGATTTTGAAACAAAGAATGGACAACCATTTTTCATGTATACTGTAGTGGGAATCCTTTTTGGGATATGGCTTGGACTAGATGCCTGCTGAGATCTCTTCCAACTATAAACAATTCTGTGAAGTGGAAATGTTTAGAGACCCAGAGAATAAATAATTATGGTATGGTAGAATGACCACTAGATCTGGATTGAGATTCTAGCTCTGCTCTACGTCTGTATGAACTTGAGCAAGTCATTTCCCCTCTTTGGGCCTCATTTTCCTCCTTAGTAAAATGAATTTAGTTAGTCAGCCAACAGGCATTTATTAATGAGCACTTCTATGTGTCAGATTGTTCTAAGTGCTGAAAGTACAAAGAAAGGCAAAAGCAGTCCTTGCTCTCAAAGGAGCTCATATTTTGATGAAGATATCATGCCAATAACTATATACAGACAACATGCAGTGTAAATGGAAGGTAATTTTAGATGGAACGACTGGGAACGCAGGAAAGTAAAGCCTTCCACAAAAGGCTGGATTTGAACTGAGTATTTGTAGCAATCTAGAGAATCAAGGAATCAGCAGTGAGGAGGAGGAGGGAGCATTTCAGGCTTGAGGTGACAGCTTTACTATCTTACTGTCTCACTTTATAGCCTTAAAGACATGGAGTGGAGAGGTGGAGGGCATGAGTAAGGAATAATAAGGTTCTTGGGTTTTTTTAAAGCTTTTATTTAGTATTTTATTTTCCCCCAGTTATATGTAAAAACAACTTTTAACATTCATTTTTAAAACTTTTGAGTTCCAAATTCACTCCCTTCCTCCCCCTCTCCCCATTGAGAAGGCAAGCAATTCCATATAGGTTATACATGTGTAGTCAAGCTAAACATATTCATAATAGGTATGTTGTGAAAGAAAACATAGAAAAGAAAAAAAACTCAAGAAAAATAAAGTTAAAACAAGTATGCTTTGGGGCAGCTAGGTGGCACAGTGAATAGAGAACCAGCCCTCGGGTCAGGAGGACCTGAGTTCAGATCTAGCCTCAGACACTTGACACTTACTAGTTGTGTGACCTTGGGCAAGCCACTTAATCCCGATTGCCTCACTAAACAAACAAACGAACAAAGTATGCTTTAGTCTGTATTTAGATACCAACAGTTCTATCTCCGGGCATGGATAGCATTTTTCATTTTTCATGGTAAGTCTAAAAAGGTTCTTCTTGTTACTGGATTGCAGAATATGTGAAATAGAATGAAGTGTGTAAGAGAACAGGAAACTTGGGCAGGGGCCAGGTCGTGAAGGGCTTTTAAAGTGAAAAGGATTTCAGATTTGATCCTGGAGGTAACAGGGAGGACTTTAAAATGTTGGAAGATCTTATAATCCTGGATGTAATTGGGAACCATTGGAATTTATTAAGGAGGTAGGGCAGGGTGAAGTGGTTAGATCTCTTGTTGGGAAGATTATTTTGGCATCTGATTGGAGGATGATTTGGATCGGAGGTAGAGACCATTTAGAAAGCTATTGCAGTAGTATAGGTGGGTTACCTTCCCACATAGATGCTTTCTTCCTTAAAACTAGGATCCTAAAGGAGCATCATTGATTGTAATGGGGAATAACATACATAGGATTGTACTACAGTGTTGTATTATTTTTTAAAAGCATTTAGCCTTCAATATAACCTTAATTTTTTTAAGTAGTTAGAAATTTTTATTTAGGGTGGGTCCTATTTTTTAATCATTCAGACATATTCACAGCACATTCACATTAGATAGTAAAAACACAGGTGGTAAAAAAACAACTAGCATCTCAGAGGAGGATGGAATGGCTAATATTTTTAAGGAGGGAAAAGGTAGAGGATGGGGAGCTTCCTGACTTAAGTGTAGAATTGATTACAGTAGGTAGAGTACTTGCTAAAAAATGTAATGAGTAGAGACTACACTTTCAGGTTTTAATTCAGAAGTTTAAACTATTTTTAGGAAGAAACACATCCTGCAGTGTATTGGGAATATATAGTGTTTTACAATTAATCACTAGTGAATTATTTTAAGATGTACAGTAAGTCCATAAATTCCATTAAAAATGGAAACGTGATTGATTGCCCCATCTCATATAGGTACTTATCAAGAGTAATAGAAATGTAAAAACTTTTTTTGTAAATGTGAAGAACTCAGATGCAGAACTCTGGTTATCCAAGTTAAGTCTGCAGATTTGGTCCATACACTAAACCCTTTTTTCAATTAGGTTTTTTTTCCTTCCGTTGATTGTCTACTGACTGTGCATTGTTTAGTCTTTCAGCTTCAGATAACAAATGAATGATGAGTAGCTGTGGTAGATAAAGAAAAATTTTGTCATTTTTGGAGATTCTCCACTGATAGGAAATGCATACTAAGAAATTCACATCCTGATGTGAACATCTGAACTTTTTGTCAAGTTAAAATGTGCAAGATTTTGTCATTAGTAGAAAGGAACAATCCCATGGGTTGTTATTCATCAGCCAAAAATTCAGGAGGGTTTTATTTCTATATATATAGTTGCATTTCTTTAGCATCCTACTTCTCACCTGCACAAATCTAAAAAACATAGATGTGATTTTATGAATTTTTTTTTCACGTCTGTAACCTTTCAGAGCAAAGCAGTTTGCCAATATTTTTCCACATCTAAAAATTATATTTCCAAATTAAGGCTATACTTAATTTAATTAGTCAAATGATCTGTCATTAAGTAATTAAAATAAGTGAAAGAATATGTTGGTGCCTTGCAGCATATTCTTCATTTTCCCTGGCATTATTTTTCTGGTTTTCAGAACCTTTCTTCTTGGTGTTCCCCTTCTACTCATATAGGGAATTAGTGGCAAACCCTTCCCATCCTTCCCAGATACTCCTCCCTGGTTCCCTAGGAAGGAGAGTTAGGAACGGAGCCTTAAGGCCCGCCTCTGATTGCCCCAACTCCTGTCTGTGACCTCTGGACATGTTCAACTACCAGGCCTCCAAGGTCACTCCTTTTAAGTTTTCCACAAGTCTTGGCACAGGCCAAGGCGACTGGCACTCTGGGACTGCAAAGCCCTTCTTCAATTGAAGGGTGTTTGGGGAGAAGGGGGTAGGTTGAGCCCTGGCAGGGCTGGGGGCAGGCGGGGATGAGGGAGCGCAAGCTGGGCGGGCGAAGGGCGGAGGAGGGGGTAGCAGGCGCGCTTGGAGAGGTCGGGGCTAGCGACGATTGTACAGCTCCCACGAAGACTTCGTGTGCAAGGCTCAGGGAATCGGGGTGCGTCTTGCCTGCCCCGCCCCTCCCGTTTCCAGAAGCTTCAGCACTGGGGACCAGGACGCAGAGAACTGGGGAAAAAGGAGACCCCAGTCTGAGAAGCGGGTCCGAGGGCCTACTCGCATCTGCCGGTCGATTTGGCCTCCTAGAACTGAGGATGGGGTGGGGTTGGGGGGCGGGGGGGGCAAAGCGCCTCGCGCCGAGAACTCTGCGCCTGCGCAGTGGTATGTAGCGGAAGCGCGTGCGCGGTGACGTGGGAGGGGGGGTGGTGGTGCGCGCGCAGTCTCTTCAGCTGGCTGCAGACACACGGTGTGCGAGCGGAGCGGAATAACCCGCCCCCCACCGGGATGTGAAGGACTCGGGGTGAGCTCTACTGCACCCAGTACGGTAACTCTCGGGCCTGGGTGGAGGGCATTTGTTTAGTACTGGCCCGATAGGGGCTTTCGAGAGTTCGAAGCTCCTGGGTATTTTTTGACTCTGCCGAAGCACTCAGCGGTGAGAGCTTCGCGCGCCCTACCCAGGCCGGGCCCGACGCGGGGGCAGCCTTGGGTGCGCGCGCTTCTAGGCCCCCGACCGAGACTGCGCATGACACCTCTTGCGCGCCCCCGTTCCCACTTCCGGACTGCACTTCTGACGAACTGGAAAAATCGACGCCAAAGGGATCGGCCACGAGGCGGGCGGGGTGAGAAGCGCCCTAGGCGCGGCCCTGCCCTCGCGTGCGTGGGGTGCTGCGCGGCGTGGCACGGTCTGCGTGACGACACTCTCTAGAGTGTGAGTCTCTTACGATTGTGGGCAACGCTTTGAACCATAAGTGCAATAAGCTCCACATCGGGCATCCGAATCGCTGAGAGGGGACGTTGGTAATCCTGTTTTTCGTTGAGGCAGAGCCTGGCTTTGACACCTGTGCACACGTCTCTTCTTACGAGTAATACCAGAACTGATTCTTTGAGGAGTAGCCAATGTACAAAGAAGGAGCCGTCGGCTGCTAGCTGGTGAGGAAGGGAGCAACGTCTGAGCGGGAACTTTAGTAAACAAAGGGTTGATTGCTTGTAAGTGCTTATGAGAAAGGGCTGGGAAAACAGGTGGGGAGAGGAAGTGCTATTTTCTCTTTCCATCAGTGGGGGCAGTCTCAGGCTGCTGCAGCTTTTAAACTGGCCGAGAGTACTGAAATAGATCTTGCACCTTTCCCTGCGTCTTTTAGGTGAGGGGGTGGGGTGTGAATAAGACCTCTCCCAATCCTGTTGCTCTTCTTGTAGTTAGGGCATCTCTGTTGTGCTTGCGAAGTGGAGTAAGTAGAGGTGATTTCTAGTGGTTGAAAGGTGGAAAAGTGTTGTAAGCTTTTTGCTGTGGTTAATTTCTCCTTCGGAGTTTGGGGCCTCTACTTGTAGCGTGGTTCCCTCCATCCAGCACTTAAGCTAGGTGGGGTGGGGTGAAGAGAGCTGAGAGGAGTGGCAGCAACCGAAATGCTGAACCTTTTGAAGTTACAGTGTAGAGAACAGCTCGTCAGGCCTGGTTTCCGTCGCCAGAGCCGACACGTGGATCCTGTAAGAACTTTCGAACCCACCCGAGCTGCATCCGCGCGTGCTGTGGCGGCCTTTGCCGTGGCTTATGCTACTGAGTCTTACGGCTAGCCCTGCAGCTTTACTCCTTACTCCTGGGCACGACGCCGCTTAAGGGCTGCAGGGAAAGTGAATGGGGGCGGGGTGATGGCTCCTCGGATAGGGGCGGGACCAGGAGGGCTTTGAAGCTTTCTGTTGTCTCCACGGTAACAGAATGCTGCACGGCTCCCGCGGAGCTCTTAGCAGGTTCCGGCGGGCTGCACGTGACCCTCGGTGCTACTCTTCCCCGGAAGAGCTTTTTCTGCTGCGGTTCTTCACGTGGTACCCAGCCAGTCAGACGTTGTCTGTGAGAATTACTGACGGAGCTGGCCTTTAGTAGATTATCTGGCCGTTTCTCCAGGGGTGGATGACTTGCTTACATTCCTTTTCGGAAAAATGGACAGCCATCACATGGCCGGCTATTCTAGCTAAATGTGTGTGTGTGTGTGTGTGTGTGTGTGTGTGTGTGTGTGTGTGTGTGTGTGTGTGTCTTGAGCCACCTTACTAGTGGGTAAACGTTTAGAATTTGATGAAACCCTGTATCCTGGGTGTCTCGACTTACCGATCGAGAAGGAGGGGCAGCATCATTTAGGTCATTGTGAGTTTAGTACCCAGAAAAAAAAAAAGCATGAAATTGCCTTCTGTTGGAGAGAGTGAGGTCCTAGTTTGGATGATTTCTAAGCAGGAGAAGCTTCTCTTTACAGGTTTGCTAGGAATAGGAATGAACACTTCTAGCCAAAAAGGGGATTTGCATTAGAGTGGAGGTGCCCTGATTTTGGGAAGCAGAGTACCATCCAGTAAATTGCTTAGATTCTAAAAGTTTCATTTATAAATTAATCTGTGTTCGAAAACAGACTGAGAACATGCTGTGTAGGTGTTTTAAAAATTCCATACTCTCTCCTCCCATTCCGACCTACTGCTTCATAACTCTCCCTCACCCTCCTTTCGAATTTTAAACTTTTAGGGGACTTGGGAGAGGGAACAACTAAATATAGTTTGAATGAATTTGTTTTCTCATCATATCCTCTGAGCCTTAGAAGCTGGAGTGAAAAATTATATTGGAGAGTGTAGATAAATGGAAAGGTTCTTAGAAAACTTCTAGTCCTACAATAAGTAACATCTCATGGGTGTTATGGAGGTAACATTCCTTCTGTAACATTCAGGTCATATTTAAATTACCCTTTCAAGTTGTATGCTTGGTGAAAGCATAAATCTCATTTGGTAATAAATTTTGGGTTTTTGAAAGTCTAAAAATGAGTTCTAGAAATACTTGGTATTTTGTATGTCAGAATTTGATGGTTAGTTGTATATTTTAAAATTTGACTAGGATTTAAGGGACTAGGAATGGAACCTATGATTTTCTTGGTAAACAAGGAATTCCTTGGTGAAAAAACTCCTACTAATGAATATAGTCTTTAGAAAATTTCCTTAAATTAACTTGCTCAGAGTAACACAGGCAGTTATGTGTCAGAGGTAGAACTAAAAATCCAGTTCTTGGCTTGGAGACCAGCCTCCTAGGCCATGCTGTCTCTGTGCATAGGATTTAGTCATTAAATTAGTTAACTCAATTGTAGTTTGAAAGGTGTTATTTTGCAGCCAAAGAGCAATTAGCAGAAAGATCCTGGGGAAAAGTAGATTTAAACTCAGTTTGAAATTGTAACCTTTTGCTTATTGAAATTGCAACATTGCTTCAGTTCAAAATACTCCCTGAGAAGACTATCTTTTTGTTGATTATGTAACTATGAAGACAACTGATAAGGATGTATCATTTCAGAATGTCACTTTGTTTTGATTTTTCCAGATTTAAAATTCTAGTTACTAAAATAATTCTTTGCATACCTAATAGAGAAATGCTGACAATTCTGAAAACTTCTGAATTGTGTTTGGTACTCAAGGCCTGCCACATAGTTTGTGCTTAAATGTTTATTGATTGACAACATCCAAGCCCTGACAGCTAAATCATATTGGATCAATGCACAATGCGCGGTTTCTTCAGTTGCATTTGTGTAGGGGTTCCCCACCCCCCTCCCTGAGGAAACTCCCTCACCAATGCAGAGTAATATCTATGGCAGTTTATAGCCTGAGAATAGCATGGGACCACTGAGAGGTTAAGTGACTTGTACTGAGTCACACAAAGCCTGTAAGTTATTGGAGGTGAGGTGTGGGAATATATATAATCACTTTAAAATTGTACGTTTTGCCCATGCTTAGACATATATCTGGTGGGGATATTAGTACCCCACTTTTATAGTATTGATCTTCCAAGAAGCCCCTATGAAGTGGGTCCATAGGTCAAATCTAAACAAGCTCCTCACAGTCTACAACCCTTCTGCTGCTTTTCATGGTTTCTGCTTATGTGGCTTAAATCCTTGGTTAAAGATACCCAAATATACATTTCAGAGTAGTTGCTTTTAGTTAAATTCTCAGGGTCTGCTATCATTTACATAATTATTTTTGAGCCTGAAAGCAACAACATAACCTCATTTGAATATCTTTCTAATTTAAAAAAAAACATCAAAATTTGTTTTAAAATGCTAGCTGGACTTAGATTTGTTAATTTCTCATAGGATAACGTAAGATTTTCTCCTAAGAAGAGAACTATCATAACATTGCCTTTTTCTTAAAAACATTGGTGTATAAATGGAAGTTATTGTGATTAGGAAATACTGTTGATTTTGATACTTGGAAATTTTTCCGCAATATGAGGAGGAAAGGTAAGTGAATGAAGGGAGGTGTGGCATTAGAGTATTTGGGTATGAATTCTACTTCTGATGCTTAATACTTGTGTGACCTTGGGCACTCACTTAATCTTCCTAAGCCTTAGTTTCCCCCACTGTGAAATGAAGGGATTGGATTTAGATGGCCTCTCAAGTTCCTTTTAGCTCTAGGTCTATGATCTCATGAACCTCCTATTTTAATTCTTCACACATTATTTTTGTGTGTGCAAAAAGTTAATGAAAATAAGTATCCTGAAGTGGAAGTAATTAAAAATTATTACATGTGTCCTATTTGATATGTAATTTTACATAGAATTTGTGCTGTTATTACATGAGTATGTTGTCAGATGATTATTTTATATTTTTTCTATTCTTAAAATTTAAGTGACAAATTTTAATTCTCTAGGGAAAAAGAACTGATAGTATATTGAGAATTAGTATTTAAAGTGAAATATGCCCATGCAGTCAAAATATATGTAACATATAGCTGTGATTTTTTTTTTCTTTTGGTAAATATTTGCACATTGAATTATTACCCCTAAGATTAGAGATGTCACACTTTCAGCCTGTACAAAACTCCTGGCCAGAATCAGATTAAATGTAATTGGGAAACATTTAACAAAATTTAAAAAATACAAACCAATATAGGTAATGTTAATTTGTGATTTTCTAAGTCAGCTTACAGCCTGCAGGGATCTATTTCTATTTAAGTTTGATACTTCTTTCTTAGATTATGACCTCATAGAAGGTTTTTTTTTCTGATTAGTCTTAAATTGGTATTGACTCCCATTGCTTTAAGTTTCTCCTCCCTCCCCCTTCCCATAGTAATGATCTGTAAAGAGATATTATTATATGACATCTTTTCTTTATTCATCTTGAGCCTCTCCTGAATCATGTCACCAATTCACCTATTAGATGTTTCTAACTAGCTGTACCTTAGGCATATCCAGCCCAACATGTCCAAAATATTCCTTCTTCCTTCCCCAAAGCCTCTTTTTTCCCCCCCCAACCTTCCCTATTTCTGTCAAGGGTGTCCTTCAAGTTACCCAAGTTTGCAGACATAGTTAGATTCAGCCTCAGTTCACTTGCTATATCCAATCCAAGTGTTGGCAACTACTCCCTTTTTTTTTTCAATCATATGGCTGCCATCCTACCTCAGACCTTCTCAGACTGTTACAGTGACCCCCAAGTTTGTCCCTCTATCAGTCTGTTCTCTGCACAACTGCCAAAGGGACATTCCTAAAACAGGTCTGACTATAGTGATTTACTTGCTCAAAAAGCTCGAGGAGTCTTCCTTGTGTCCCTGTTGAGCATTCCTTTACAATCTGCAGTTTAAGGCATGCCACCTCCTTGGAAGTTTTCAGCCAGAAGCTGGATAATCGCTTGTTTGATGTTATATTGAGGATTCCTTTTGTGTGTGGGTTGACTTAAGTGGCTGCTGAAGTCCCCTCCAACTGAAATTCCGTGTGATTCCGTGTTACTTTGCTCGGCTTAATACACATCACCCATCTTTATCTACTTTACATTTTAGCAGGACTACTTATGTGCTATAACTAGGTTTCCTTGCCATTCCATAGCTGTCCTCCATGTGTGTAATGCATTCCCTCTTTATCTCTGCCTTCCTTCAAAGTTTGTCTCAAATGCCATATTCATGAAGCTCTCCCCCAAGCTGTTGAACTCCACTCCCCACAAATTCTTGTGTTTATTTTTCATTTTCATTTTCTTTCTTTTTTTTGGTGAGGCAATTGGGGTTAAATGACTTGCCCAGGGTCACACAGCTAGTAAGTGTCATGTGTCTGAATGCACATTTGAACTCAGGTCCTCCTGACTCCAAGGCCAGAGCCCTATCCACCTAGCTGCCCTTCCATTTTTCATTTTCTTAACATTTGAATATGCTTTTCATTTTTAGAATCTAAGCTTTTGGAGGTTAGGTGACTTATCTGTTTTTGTATTTGTTTATAGATTTATATTAATATGTGGTTTTCTAAGTCAGTATATGTCCTACAAAGGATCATAACATGCAATTTAGTGGCCTCCATTTCTCTTCAAAGAGAGCTACTGCTCCAGGCTGTTTGCAGAGAAGATGCTTTGATAGGAATTTCCTCTTCGGGAGTGCCTGATAACAATGAAATCACAGGTATCCAGTCTCTATTCCTTCTTTAAAATAATTATTCTCTTTAAAAAGACTAATAACAATAGGCACAGTTTTAGGAAAGACAAGAGGCAGCAGGATATGCTCTAAAGCAGGAAGCCAGGGAAGCCAATAGGAAGAGACAGGAGGGTGAGCATTGCAGGCTTGGAGGACAGGCAGAGAAAATGCTTAAGAGGGGAGAGATGGAGTATCTCATTTGTGGAACAACAGGGAGATTAGTGTCTCTGGATTGGAGAGTACTTCTTGGTGTAAAATTGGAAAGACAGTTTATTGTGTAAGGGGGTGACATGGTATAGGACCTGTCCTTTAGAAAAATCACTTTGGTGGCTGAGTGGAGGATGAATTGGAGTGGAAACAGACTTGAGGCAAGCATTCCCCTCAATGAGCTAGTTTAATCCACAGGGGCAAGGTGATAAGAACCTGGACTAGAGTGTTGGTGGCAATATCAGAGGAGACAAAAGGGGTGTATTCAAGAGATGATTTAAAGGTGAAATCGTCAGGCTTTGGCAACAGCTTGGACATGGAGGATGAGAGACAGTGAGGAGTCAGGATGACTCCTAGATTGTGAGCCTGAGGAACTGGGAGGATTTGTACTGTACTGCAGTAATAGGGAAAGTAAGAAGTGGGGAGGATTTAGGGGGAAAGACATTGAGTTCAGTTTTGGACATGTTGAGTTTTAGATGTCTACTGAACATCCCTTTCAGGATATCTGAAAGGCAGTTGGAGATGCAAGATTGGATGTCAAAAGAGAATTTGAGGCAGGATAGGTATATTTGAGAATCATCAAGCACAGAGATAGTAATTAAATCTGTGGGAGCTGATGAAATCATCCAAGTGAAGTGGTATATAGAGAGAAGAGGCCCCAGGACAGAACCCTATGGGAGACCTACAATTAGAGTGAATGTCTGGATGAGGATCCAGCAAAGGAGATAGAGATGAAGTGGTCAGATGGGTAGGAAGAGAACCAGCAGACAGTACTATGCTGAAAACCTAGAGAGAAAAGAATAACGAGGAAAGAGAGGATGGTCATAGGTGTTAGAAGCTTGAGAGGAGGTCAAGGAGAATGAAGACTGAGAAACGACCATTGAATTTGGCAAGAAGCAATCATAGGTAACTTTAGAGAGAAGAGTTTTGGTAGAATAAGGCTAGAAGTTGGATTGTAAGTAAAGCATCTGTTTTAGACAGCCTTAAAGAAGTTTAGCCAGAAAGGATAGAAGGGATATACGAAGATAGTTATAGGGGATAGAAGGATCAAGTGAATGTTTTTTCAGGATGGATGAGACATGGGCATGTTTATAGGTAGTAGGGAATGAGGCAGTAGGGAATAAGTGATAGAGGGGGAATGACAGAGACAAATATAAAACACATAAAAATGAATGTTACCTTATTTTTTAAAATACAAGAAAAAAGATTGTATATGATATAATGGACTTGTATTGCATATGACTTTCTTAAAAATAAAATTTTAATCAGTAGTTTTGACACTGAGCTGCTTGTCTCCTGTTCTGAACTACTTTTTATTCTTTTCTAACCATTTTTTGGTTTCACTGACATTCTTTTTCTTGACTATTCTTACATCAAAACAAAAAAGAAACACCATTGTTTTCGCAATAAAAATCTCAGAATGTAGTTTTTTGAAGATTTGGAATAAGCCTCACTTCACTCACCATATCTAGTCTGGTCTTGGAAGTAATGTCACAGTTTGTTTAGGTTGGAACTCACTGTATAGAGTAGAGTAGGAAGTTTTTTGTGAATTGAATTTTTATAGATCTAGAAGAGCTAGATATTTAAAGGAACCCTATGTTGGATCTTTTTGTGAAGCTGAAGACATTTTGTAAAAACACCAACAAAAGTCTTGTAATAATTTAGTGAGCTTGGATCTTTAAGTACTGGGTTTTGCTAAAATAGGGCCATATACTTTTTTATTTGTCGAGATAAGACTTTATAGAATAATTGAGAAATTGTTTGAAATAGATTAAAATAAACTTTTAAAAAATCATCATTAAGGAAATTTACTTCAAACTATTTTCATCTTTAATTTTACTTCAAATTCATTTCCAAATATTTTCTGTCCTTCCTTATCCAGTGTGCCTTGCTTTGTGGAAAAGATTAAAAAAGAAAGAGGAAAGATAAACAGTTTGGTAAAATGAATACATTGACTTTATCTGATAGCATTTGCAGTATTTTCCCACTTCTTTCCCCCCCCCCCCCCCGCATTCCCTGGAAGGAAGGGGGCATGCTTCATATTTCTTTTTCAGGGTTTGTCATTATAATTACATAGTACTTGGTTTTTATTCTTACTCTCTTTCTGTATAGTTGAAGTTACTAGGTATATTGTTTTCCAGGTTCTGCGTAGTTCACTCTACTTTAGTTCATAAAAGTCATCTCATAATTCTCTTAACTTCTTGTCATTTTTGATGGCACAACAGTGTTTGAGTAATTCATGTATCACAATTTGTTCAGCCATTCCTCTACTTTGTTGTCAACCTTTGGCTACCATAGAAAGTGCTATTATGAATATTTTGGTGTATATTTGACCTTTCTGTCACATTTGACCTCCTTAGGGGTACACACCTAGCAGTGGGGTCTCTGAGTCAAAGGATATGACCATTTTAGTCATAGAATGGCTATTACAGTTTTGTAGCAATCAAGTGGTATAGTGAAAGAATTAAGGTATACTTATTAGAATACTTCATCCTTCTCACTATTCAGATTCATTTTTAATATCCTTATTTTAAAAGTAAGTTGTTATCTGTATAATTTTTTGCTAAAGAGGCTTCAGTTATTTATTTTGTTTGTTTTCAGGATGGTGAGAACACAGGACGGGCTGTTTCAATTGTGTGTTGTCTACAGTTAGTTCAAGAGAGAATTTACTACTGAAGTTATTATGGAGCAACAGCAGGTTGCATTGGGTAATCAAGATGGTGGGACTATATCAGCAGCAGCGCCTGCCTTTTTTGTCATCTTGAAACAGCAGCAAGGAAATAGTAAAACTGATCAAGGCATTTTAGTAGCAAACCGAGATGCCTGTGCTTTAGCCAGCAGTGTGTCATCACCAGTAAAAACTAAAGTCAAGACATGCCTTCCAGCTGATTGTACCTCAGGGGGCATCACTGTCACCCTGGATAACAATAGCATGTGGAATGAGTTCTATCATCGAAGCACAGAAATGATTCTGACTAAGCAGGGAAGACGCATGTTTCCTTACTGTCGTTACTGGATAACTGGCTTGAATTCAAATTTAAAGTACATCCTTGTAATGGACATCTCTCCTGTGGATAACCACCGTTATAAATGGAATGGCCGCTGGTGGGAGCCCAGTGGCAAGGCAGAGCCTCACGTCCTGGGGAGGGTGTTCATTCATCCAGAATCTCCTTCTACGGGACATTACTGGATGCATCAACCAGTGTCTTTCTATAAACTGAAACTTACCAACAATACATTGGATCAGGAAGGGCACATTATCTTACACTCTATGCATCGTTATCTGCCACGGCTTCACCTGGTACCTGCAGAAAAGGCTACAGAAATTATACAGCTAAATGGCCCTGATGTCCATACCTTCACCTTCCCGCAGACTGAGTTCTTTGCAGTGACAGCTTATCAGAACATTCAAATTACCCAGTTAAAAATAGATTACAACCCATTTGCCAAAGGGTTTCGGGATGATGGATTGAACAGCAAACCTCAGCGAGATGTGAGACAAAAGAACAGTTCAGACCAGGAAGGGAGTAGTGTTCCCAGTTCTCCTGGTTATCGAGGCCATCTTACTGAAAGTGATGGATCAGAGATACAACAAAGTGTCCCAGATACTGAATTGAGTGGCCATGAGCCATCAGAGGTAGACTTGGAGAAGGCATCCTTTAATGCAGAACGAGATTTTCTTGGTTTTCTAAATTCTGGTTTGACTTCTGATGGGATTCCACAACTAAAGCAAGAAGCTTCTGAAAGGTATGACAGCGTATTTTTGTTTTTATGGAGTGATAGGCGATTATATTATAGTGGCATTATGGAATGATGATTATGGACACTTGGTAGATAGTATATCATACTTGAATTATACAGTAGTAGTTGTTAACTAATGACCATTTCTCATACTTTTCATGCAATGTACTTTTTTCCTTATGAAGGTCAGTTGAATTTAAACATTTCCCCCTCATTATTTATCTTCCTTCCTTTTGGGGGAATTGGTGTGTGTCATCAGTATAAGGAGCTCCCAGTGAGGAACCCCAATCAATGAAGTTTGATAGTTGTCTGGGATGCATTTTTTTTTTTGGCTTCACAGTGGGGTTAAGTGATTTGCACAGGGTTACACAGCTAGTAAATGTTATGTGTCTGAAGCCAGATTTGAACTCAGGTCCTCCTGAATCCAGGGCTGGTGCTCTATCCGTTGCATCACCTAGTTGCCCCTCTGGGATGCTTTAAGACAGAAGTGTCAAACTCTGGTGGCAGCAGATCTTAGCATTAACACCTCAACCAGATTAAAATGACAAGTTTAACAAAATTAACAGTACAGTATAGATAATGTTAATTTGAGATTCTCTAAGTCAATATAGAGCTCTGTTTCTGTTTGGGTTTGACACCACTGCTCTAAGAGGTTAAGTGATTTGCTCAGGATCACAAAGCTAGTTGAATGTGTCAGAGGCAGACTGGACTTAAAACCACATCTTATCATCTTGCAAGCAAATTGCATAAATATTTTTCTCCAGACTTAGTAACTAAAACATGTCTTATTAAAACTATCACGGGTAGTTTGTATTCAGTGTGCTTTGGATTTCAGATATCTGCAAGTTGGTTAACATGGGTAGTACATTACAGCTGCAGTGGAGGCTGAAGTGAGGTTCTGAGTTTAATCACTAAAAGGACCAATGTTAAAAATGTTCAACTGGTATACGCCAGGCCAGACAGAGCCTGGAAGTATGTAATTGATGACCACTTTCCAGTTTTAAAAATTGAAATTTGTTGCTTATTTTCTTTTCCTTCAGATTACATTGAGTAATGTTTGCTCAGATACTTAAAACTCTGTAGAAGTTCTTTAATCAATATTATTGGGGGGGTGATATAATTGTTTTGGGGTTCTTGCATTAGTTTTATACGTATTTTATTTTTTTGGAGTCATTTGGGGTTAAGTGACTTGCCTAGGGTCACACAACTAGTAAGTGTCAAGGGGCTCAGATTTTTAATGAACTAGCTATTGAGAAATCTCAACCCCATTTCCATCTTGAAGGTTTTCACAGACCATTCGAGGCTTCATTGATCACACAACCAAGGACCAGTAACATATTGAATGGATTATGAGACCAGTTAGCTCTCTCATCCAATTATTGATTATACAGTTTGTGAATTATCCATACCCTAAATTGCTTAAATCTCCCTCTTCTTAACTTTTCATCATTAGTACTTCCACCAGAGGCTTAGAGAAAGGAGGGTAGGTAACACTGAAATAAATTGTGGGTGTTTTTTTCCCTTTCTTTCTTTCTTACCTTTTTTTGGCCCCTTAATTGTGGTTAAATAATTTGTTCAGGAGAAGAATGAAACTAGTAGTGAAAATGAGATTTTTGGATTATCTAGATATCTCGTATCTACTCATCCAGTTTCTCATCTTTATCGGTAATTGATAGAATGAACAACAATAGATTGTTGGCTCCTTCATTTGCTTATATCTTTTACCATAGTGTGTGTTTATGTTTCCACATCTGTTTCTCAAGTTTTTTTCTCCCATCTAGGAAGGAGAAACAGCTTGCCTAAAAATTAACTCTTTTTCTTTTCTATTTCACTCTAAAGAGATTTTAGGATGTAGATCTGAAAGGCATCTTGGGAATCATCTAATCCAGCTTCTCACTTTGCAGATGAGAAAACTAATACCTATGGAGTTTTCCAAGATAGTAAATAGAGCTAGAATTTGAACCAGTGTCCTCCAACTCCAAATCCAGTGCTCCTTCTACTTTGTCAGTCATAGATTTATTTCCTTTTCTTTTTTAGCATCTCTAGTTTTTCTTTCTATGGATTCCTTCAAATTTGTGTAGGTCTCTACTTTCTTGAAAACAAAATTCTTATTTCAGAGTTTTATTTATGATTTTTGCTTTTACATGAGCCATTTTTTAAATTAAAATTTTTCTTTAGTTAACCAAAATCCATCTCCCCCCATTGAAAAAGAAAGGAAAACAGAGTCCTTACAACAAATATGTATAGTTAAGCAAAACAGTTTCCCTGATTGGCTTCGTCTAGTAATAGATCTCGGTCTGTGCTCTTGAGTACATAATCTTTCTGTCAGGAGGTAGATAGCGTGCTTCATTATGGTTCATCTGAAATGGTAATTGGTTATCAAGTTGATCATAGTTTTCAAGTTTTTTTTTACAGTATTATTGTTATTGTATAAATAGTCCTCCTTGTTCAGCTGACTTCATTCTTCATCGTTTTGTATGAGTCTAGGATTCCTAGGTTTCTCCAAAATTGTCCCTTTAATCAGAGGTATTAAACTTGCAGACTGAAATCAGCCCAAAAAACTATTGAGTGCTGCCTGAACCAGATTAGAATGTAACTGGGAAGTGTTTAACAAAATAAATTAAAGTACAGTATAATCTCAATAATGTTAACTTGTGCTTTTCTAAGTCAACATAAGCCCTTAGGGTTCTGTTTTTATTTGAGTTTGTCACTACTGCCCTTCATCATTTCCTGCATCTGTCATTTCTTTATATATTCTCTAACTCCTCATCCCACTATTCAGTTGAGCTTTCCATTGTACCAGAGAAAGCTGTAAGAGAATCCGAGGGACACAGCAACTGTCTGATAATAGTATATGTACTGTTTCGCACTTGTAGTCCTCTTTTATCACCTCTGGGTCCAAGATTGGTCATGCTGTATTAAATAGCATTTTTTTGTTTTCCTTCCTTTTAGTGTTATTTTAATCATCAGTGTGTATGTTGATTTCTTCATTCTGCTTACTTCACTCTGTACCATTTCGTAGTCATATTTTCAAAATTCCTTGTATTCATAATTTTACAACACAATCAATTCTGTTACATTCATGTACCAAAATTTGTTTAACTGTTTCCTAATTAATGGGTGCCTATTTTGTTAACAGTTTTTTGTTATTACAAAAAGTGTTGCTATAAATGTTTTGATATTCACAGGGCCTTTCTGTATCATACTTTCTTTTATTAGCTCCCAGATTTCATGTAAGCAGGCAATATAGCTCTGCCCTTTTTCTCTTTTAACTCTTTACTAGTAGGAAGTACTATTTTTACTATACCTCATATACATACATACATACTTGAAGGTCACTAATCATGGACTATTCAGTTGGAAAAGATTTCAGAGGTCATTTAGTCCAACCCATACCTGAAAAAGTAAATCTGCTTTACAACTCCCAGTATACCTTACCATTTAGCCATGTCTTTAAGTCCTCCAGTGATAAGTGATGACTCTCTTTGGAAGTAACCTATTCCACTTGAATAGATCAAATTTGTAGGAAATTTTTTCTGTATAGTAGTAATTTAATGGAAGGAGCACTAGATTTGTTGTATTGACTGTGTAACTTTACCAAGTCAGTCTCTCTGGGCTTTAGTTTTCTTATTTTCAGGTCCCTTCTAGCACAGAAACTGTGATCTCACTTGGGCCTCATGCAGTGCTGTGAGATATATACAAGGATTACCACCATTTTGCAGATGCCAAAACAGAAGGGCATAGAGGTTAGTCAACGAATAATCATTAAGTGGCTACTGTGTGCCAGGCACTGTATTAGGAACTGGGGAATTCAGTAACTATGTGATCCTGTGGGTATCAGAGGTAAAATTTGAACTACTTTTTTGACAGAAAATGCCATCACACTCTCCACTGTTGTGTTGCAGCAAGATGCAGTTACATTCAACAAGTACTTACTAATTACTGTATGACAGGTGCTATACTCAGTGCTGGAGACAAGAAAGACAGAAAATGATAGCCCGTCACCTCAAGGAGCTCATATTTACTGGAACATAAACCATTACATTTATATTCTTTTTTTTCTGTAGGAGGTGGCACCTGACTTGTGCTCTGAAGGAAGCTAAGTATTTATGAAGTGGAGATGAGGAGGGAACTTACTCTAGTTTTAATACTGATTGAGAAACAGTCATTACAATTAGATGGGTTCATGAAATTCCTAGCGTACCCCAAAAGTCAGCTCAGGTCTCATCTGTTAAATGAGGTGTTTCCTTATTTCTTCTCCTCATCTCCTTTCAGTTGCTAGTGTTTTCCTTCTTTAAAATCCCTGCGTATGGAGCAGCTAGGTGATGGTGTGGGTAGAGCACTGGCCCTACAGTCAGGAGGACCCAAGTTCAAATGTGGCCTCAGACCAAACACTTGACACTTACTAGCTGTATGACCTTTGGCAAGTCACTTAACCCCCATTGGGCCCCCCCCCAAAGTAACATCCTCACAAGAAAAGCAAAAGAAAAAATGCCTGTGTGTGTGTTGTATCCTCCTTGTGGAATGAGTTTTCTACTTGAGGGCAAGGACTATTTTTTTTTTTTTAGTATTCTCAGTTTATAGTAAAGTGTCCCTTCCCTTCCTCTTTCCTCCCTCTTTCTTCTTCCTCCCTCCTTCTCCCTATAATACCCTTATCAGCTGGTTATTCTGCCCAAAGAAATGTAAATTTTGTCCCTTGAAACCTCCCTAGATAGGGGGTCTAAAGGTAGATTTTTACTTAGCCACCATGTCTTAAACACAAATCACTCTGGTGCTCATTGATTGGCCAGCAGTAGGTCACAGGCCAAGCCCCACCTGGTCACCATTTTGGGCCCTGATTGTCTCCTAGTGAATGTAAATAGCTGTTGTTTCTGTTTTGGTCAGAAACCCTGAGGATCTTCCCCTCCCAGATTGATTTTTTTTTTAATTTAGGTAAAAGAGGCCTTGACTGCCTCCTTACTTACCTAGCCTTAATCACTGAATGGGCCTTTCCTCAGTCAAACTGA